TTCTGCCATCATTAAATACAAGCAAAATACATTTTTCTTAAAAAAATCCACTTTACTGCATTTATTCTTGTACCTGCCATTTGAAATACAAGGGGTTTCCACACAAATTAACAACGGCAATTTACAGAGAAGTGCTTTACACCTCACCAAGGAGGGTGGGGACCTTCCAGATTTAAGCGTTTTAAAGTTGGTTTTTTTTTTTTTTAATGAGAATGATACTGCAAAAAACCCTAAGAGCTGTGCCGAACACCAAATCAAGATTAAGTTTTCACAGCGTTACATTTCTGATGTTAACCTATAAATGTTACCCAAAGTTACTCTGAAGACAGTTACAAGATTTAGCAATCCAAGAATCTCAAGATATATCATCTAGTAAAAATGCCTTGAGTCATTAACAACAAATAAATACAACATTTAAATAGCTGCTGCATATCAAATACTTATCTGATGCCTTAAATAATAAAAATAGGTGTTCTTAGATCTTTCAATATCTTATAAATCATTTAGTGCTACTGGAAGGTTCTAAATTATAAGGCTGGAGACTGGCAAAATATACAGGATAGAAAAGGACAGATAACAGAACAACCATGACAATTCTTGTAGACATGGCCTGTGTCCTGGCTGAGGCTCAAGAGAAAAATAGTTTGGACTTTGTCATTTGGGGCAATGGCAGCAAAACGAGTCACCAATTCTGAGCGAGTTAATACCCGAGGGGATGATAAACGGATCATACTCTACCCTGTCCCTTAAGAACTGGGATAGGGCAGCGTCAATCTGAAAAACAGTCCCAGATACCCACTACCCCCATGTGGGATTGTTGAGACTGACAGCCTCAAGACAGGATATCACACACCAGATAGAGAATTGCCCTATATCTAACACCATGTATTTTTTTCCCCCCCACCAAAGGACCCCTCGATATGAGGTTTATAGCTGCAGTGCACAGGCCACCACCAGGACACGGTTTTCCAATCATCTTGCCTCTACTCCTTGGGTTTCACCACATACTCCCGCATCATGGAATACAGCACACCTAGGAGACAGAAACACAAACCAAGTTAGAAATCTTTTTAATATATAATGCTGAGTTATAAAACTTGGCACAGATAAACAGTAAGAATTGCAATTCTGGGCAATGAAATTCACAATTCCCTCCATTTTCTGTTGTCTGTTTTTTAGTATTTAGAAAGAACACTACATTATCTACAGAGAAAATTCTCCTATTCTAGAGGTATGCAGGTTACTAGCAAACTCCTGTTTGCTTTGCTGCGAAAGACAAACACATACAGGCAAACAGTGTTTCATAAGATGGGCAATTTGCACATTTACACACATGTGCTGCATAAATACTCAGATGAGACCCGGGATGCACTGAATGCATTCAATAACACAATTCCAGTACTGAAAATGCCACTGTCTAGGCAAGCTGTTTCCCAAAGTAATGAACTCTGGAACAGCAATTTTTCCATTTGCAATAAAAAAATTAAGAGCAGATACAAGCAAAAAAAATCATTACTAATATTATTTTCTTTTATAACAAGAGCAGCTTGCTTGGAACAAGAAGGGATTTAAATTCATTCCGTTTCAGCACAACTCCTTTGGGAGCTTGCTGGCAAGTGCTGTCTTTGCAACATTGACTCACTGCCAGATTTTCTGCATTGGTCCCATTAGCTCTTCACTTTTTTTTTCTTTCCTATTGCAAATAAAGTTGTATTTTACACTTAGAGGATTTTTTTAATGTTTGAGATGAACCTCATATCCTCTCCATGTATAAAAATAGTCAAAACTTGCATTCTCAGGCTGCAGTTTTATATTGGAACATGGGTTCTTAAACACCCTGTTACTTTAGAAAGGTCGAGCAAATAATCAGTCAAAAGCCAAGCGTTCATAAAGTTGTTTCAATGTAATATCCCGAATTTCACGCAGTGATTTGAGGGGGGTCTCCGTGATTCGCTTTGCACCTACCACACGTTAGCGCTCCCACCACGAAGCCCTGGGCCGCCACTCGCATGTGGATCAGGTGCAGTGACATTTTCATGTCCCCCCTGTGCTTCAGTCTGTACAGCCCGTAACCCACCACCATGGCAAAGCCGGCCATGCCTGCACAGCAAAGACACCAGGGACAAAGCCGCCAAGTTAGGAAAAAGGGATAAACTCAAAGGAGAAACCCCGGGAGCGAGCGCATTTTGGCCTAATCGCTGCGTCTGTGCAGGGAGCAAACCCCTGGCCTTGCTGCTGTTTGCACTGCACTGCTATTTCCTTTAGTGCACAAGTCAGCACAGGCAAGTTTGCATTAAGGCAGCAGGTCAGAATGAAAAGACACAAAGTCGTGGGACACCCTCAAAGTATCGGGGTTGGATGGTTTTCAGAAAGCCCGTTTTCCACTCTCCTTCTTTGGCAGGAAGCTCACATCCACCCCAAAACACTCGCTCCAGCGCTCGCATTCAGCACCTCGACACATCCACTTGTTCGCTGAATTCACTGTTTTTAGTTTTGCCCCATTTGACCTGTTTTCACTGGAACAGGATGAGTCATATGTTATCTGCCCTGTGCTGCCAGGAGAGCGGATCAGTAAAATCTCTTCCACAGGGGATACTTTTCATTTCCACAGCCCAAACAGATCCAACAGGGCCCAGGCTCTGCAAATTCCAGCCTGTGTGTCCACACTCTCCCGGAATACAGAACAGCAGGGCACCAAACTTGCCAATTCCAGCCACTTTATGCCATATTTAGGACAATGTAGTTCAAAAGCAGCTGCCAAGTTTTAAGTGTTGTGCATATCTTACAGCTGCATGTGGGACAACTCAGCTGCTCGAGTAGGATTATTACCAGCTCCACTCAAGAAGCTGTAAAAACCTTTAAAAAAGGTAGACTTTGGGGGCTGGTAAACTAGCTCTGACATCGGTTTAAAGTAAATTTTGCTAATCTATTGGGAGGAACCTGAACTCACTCAAGTCCACAGTATGTTCTAGTGAGCAGAGGGAGCAAAGTCCTGCGGCCACAGAGACTTGTGACATATCTGCTGGCAAAAGCTTAGAATACTTCACCCAAGGGACCTGTCCTCAGTTTAAGGCGGCTATAAATCAAAATCTATGGCCTGGAGAGGGAGTTCCTGACCAGAGAGAGCCTCTCAGGTCACACAGCCAACCTCTCCTTGGAGGCTGCGTAGGACTTTTCAGGGTCTGTGATTCTGTGTGTGATTCTGTCTCCACAGAGAAGTTGAGACCTTTGAACACCTCGTCAATTTGGGCTGCCCCAAAATGTGATAGGAAAACACATTTTAGACCAAAGGATGGCAGCAGAGAAAGGCCAAACCTCCGGGAAAATGTATTTTGGACACCTTTGTATTTTGTTAGCTCGAAAGACAAAACCCAGTGATCACACACAGCTCCGCTCCGAAGCGGGCAGGCGAGACACGCTCCTTACCACACACACAGGCTCTGTCACTCATTAACAGCTTTTTTTAGTATTTTTTTTAATGGTAGGTTCTGTGTTTTCCATTTAGGATAACAAAGCACCTATTAATTACACTTTATAGCCAAGTACCACTTCAGACTGACAGTATATTGGTGTCACCAGAGAACAAGCCTGCACGAGGAAGTCATTTAGAAGCCATTTCCCCTTCACGGTAGGTGACTGTGTTTATCCTGTCGATTGCTCATGAGAGCAGAGAGGGAAGAAAAAGCCCACGTAACCACATTGCTTCATATTTAAACTTACCAATGGGCACAAATGGTGTCTCTTTAAATTTTCTTAACAGTTTAGATGTCTGGCTGGTTTCAGCCTCATACTGGGGAAAAACAGGTTCCTGACCGGATGACATGATGATGGCTGCAAAGAGAAAGAGCTTTTTTTCAGAAACCAAGAGATTCTTTCCTTTTTTCACAAAAAGAGAGGCCATCTCTTCCCTACGCCAAATATAATGGAGCTGCATGGAGTTGAATACAAACACCACAGCCAGCAAGGCTTGACCTTGGCCGAGGAGATGCGTGCGGTTTAATTAAAGTTAGATCTTGAAGCAAGATCGTTGCATGCTAAAACAGATAGTGACAGCAGAAATAAAATAATAATAATAAAAATCCCTTTCTGCACCATTACAGCCCCAAGACACACTCAGAGGCAGCTCCAGGCCACCGAATGCCTAAATCACCGGCTGCGCTTCCAAGCTCCATCCCAGCCCTTGGCTTTTCCACAGGCTCTTCCCTGCCGGCCGCTCCGAGCTCAGGGAGGTTCCTGCCTCCCGTTTCGGTGCCAAGGACGGGAAGAGGGAGCTAGGGAAGGTCAGCTTCCCGCTCCGGCATCATTTGGGATGGAGTGCCGGAATGCCGTGTCCCAACCGCCATGCGGACACCCCTGGCATCGCGAGGGCAAAGAGACCCCCTAACAGGTAAAAAACAGAAGGACCAACCTCACGGGGTCCTGCTCTTCCTTCGCCCTCCAGCCTGAGCGTCGCCCCTCAGATCCTGCGGATGGAGGAATCCCGCG